GCAACAATCCCCAAAGACGCACGGCACACCATCAGAGTGGCGCGGTGTGCGCACTCTCTCCGGGGCCCCGACATTTGCGGGCGAATTCCTGCCAAATTTCTCGGCCAAGTCGGGCCGACCGAATCGGCAGACCGCAGCACGGGAGCAACAATCCCCAAAGACGCACGGCACACCATCAGAGTGGCGCGGTGTGCGCACTCTCTCCGGGGCCCCGGCATTTGCGGGCGAATTCCTGACGAATTTCCCGGCCAAATCGGGCCGACCGTCCGAACCGGCGGACCGAGTCCCGGCTTTTCCATAGATTTTGCGCAGATTCTCTTGGTGCTGGCTCGAAAAGTCGTGTCGCAAATGCGGGCCACGCTTGTCGCAGCCCTGCCTTTGGATTTCGGTGTCTGTCTGCTCCGGATGGTCTTATCTCGGCGCGCCAGTTATAGATCGTGCCCAGTGCTCGTGTTGTGAATAAAAACTCCCGCTGCGCGGGTACCCGCGCGTCGGCGCTTTTTGGCCATCCTTGTAGTGCTGTTTTACTGCAGAAGCCGGCGGTCCGCGTCCGCTCGGAGCTAGGCTTGTTGGCGGATAAACCTCGGCCTCGGGAAACTTCTTTGTTTTGCTCACGTTAACGAACCCGCATCAAGTTGCGCTCTACGTCTTTTTTTCCTTTACCTGGACGAACAGCAGGTAGAGGACATAACCCATGCTGCTACAACATCAGAGATGAGATGCCAGATTGCTACATGAGAGAGATAAAAGTTTTTTTTTCCATGTCGAGTGCCCTATCGAGAGATGAACCAGCAGTAGGTGGAGAAGCAGTCTTGGTTTTTTTTTTTGTTTTTTTATCCTCCACCTAGACGAGTTTGAAACAAATGCAGTTCCTGCCAACAACCCAGGATCTTATACGTTGCTTCGGTGTGGTTGTGTAGTGTTGCTTTTGCGCAACACCTGCTCCTGCTGATGCAGGTTTTATTGCGACATTGTTTGTAGCTGTGATTATCAAATTCAGTTTCGGATCTTTATTTTCAGTTGGATTCATGATGAGCAACGGCGGGGCAGCCGGGGGCGATAAGCCCCCGGGCGACACCAGCGCTGAACAACCGTCGGCCGCTTCTGTTTATGGGATAGTTCTCAAACGTTACATTCTCAACTGCTGCATGATTTGTCATGCAAAATTGACATCGACATGGACATCTACACGATGAAGTGCTTTTTCGCATGACATATTTTTGATGGCCCAATCGGCATGAAAATCATTTCCGAATTTGTAATGCTAGAGGCGCAAGCTCCCCGTCCCGGCTTCCACTTTTGCTATTCTTGCATCAAAAACCCATGTTGGAGCCGTTGAGATCGTAAACTTTGAGAATCGCATACTATTGCGGGACGATCAGCTGCAAACAAAATGAAGCGGAAAATGGGCGCGAAAGAAGGAAAGAAAGCGGGGAGCAGCAAGCGTGTTGTGGAGGAAGTGGAATCTGATGGGGTAAGGGAAGAAGTGATGACTTTTTGTTTTATGCAAAAGATGGAATTTTTTGTCATGCAGATTTCCAACAGGTACGGGATTGATGTATAAGAACTCCAACTGTAATTTGTAATGCATTTTTGCAAGTGGAACTGCTCTTACTCTATTCTACAAAAAATTCAGGTTGGCGAAGATGAGTGGAGGGCGGAAGAACTGGATAAGAAACAAGAGTATGCTCTGCAAAAATATCGCACTTCTTCGTCGCGAAAATTTCATAACAATCTTCATGCACAAGAAATCAGCTGGATTATGTCTGTGTCATGCATACAAGAAATCATTTATGAAAGCAGATCTGTCACACGGCACGACGATTTATCCATTGACAACTTTATTGTTTTCGTATCAATTGACGGTATTTTTGCACAGAATAAAGACGTTCCGAAACCTTTGGTGACAGACTTTCATACGCTATCCTGTGCAAGAAAAGTGCCTTCTTTGGAGGTCCTCAAGCGACTACTAGCACCGCTCTGTTAGTAAGTACACAGGTCTAGTTGATTGGCTACAAAGAAATCATTCATGACACGAACTTGATGGATCCTCGAGAATGAAAGTTACATTTAGCCGTGACGAGGTACTCGTACTACTCTTAGCGTATAGCTTCCTGGGCTCCTTGTGTACTATGCAGCCGTGCTGCATTTTTAGACAAGCGCAATTGGGGACCTCCACGAGGGTCTTTTTACGCAGGATGCATGCGGGCGCTCTACGCGCAGCGACGCTGGGTCATGACGGAATCGGGGGCGGAGAAGAAGAGTGGGATGCAGGGACTTAAAACCGAGTGCGAAAGGATTGAAGCGGAGGAAGGAAGTAAAAACCGAACAAATGCTGCGCAGAAGGAACTGGACCTGTGCCACATGTACCTGCAAAATATCGTGGGAAAAAAGTGTTACAGTTACACACCCTGATGCAGACAAGCAAGACAGACGACCTCTGTCATGCAGGAAATGCTTGCCAGCGTGAGCGTCATTTCATTCGTGTTTTCTCTTATACTCTGCGCATCACAGGTTTTCTTAGGCATGTCGAGCAACTTTGTGATGCAGAAACTCCAACAAGCGTGTAACTGTAACACTTTTTTCCTGTGATACAAAAACATCAGAGGTTGCTGCCCGACGACACGGATGAAACCAACGCGGACGGAGACCACGGGAAAAGCGTCGACCAGCACGACAGAGCCGTCGGCGACGCAGCTGGTGCTCCTTCCCTCGGTGCGGAAAAGAACGAAAGCAAGGACTATTCCGCGGCGCATTTTCCGCAGGAGGCTGCAGCAAGAACGTCTTCAGCTGGTACTAGCCAAGTAAAAACAACAAACGACCAGCCGCTTGGGTCAACATCATCGGCCAGTGCTACAACTGGGACGTTTAACAAGCGAAATCTACTGACGACTTCCGCTTGTTCGCCAAGTTTCAGTTTGTTTTCACCACCGCTGCATTCAGAACGAGTACGAGAGCCAAGCTCGTTTTCCCCGTCGAGGCGCGTCGTGCCACAGCCGAGATCCTCGTCCTCGGCTTCAAGCGGAACTACGGTATCAACTGCAAGTATGTCTGGGTCTGGATGAATGTATAGATTTCACATGCATATTTCCATTGACCCATGAAATGATGCCTGTAATGCATGACCTATGCATGACCTAGCGTCACAGATTTTTACAGGGCTTATTGATGCACCTTCCGCATGAGAAATAATTCTTTGTCCTTTTAGCACAAACAGTACACCTCCTGCTTGTCATGCAATACAAATTTTTTTGGAGTTCAAAAACAGCATGACAAGTCGCAATCCTCCAGACCAAGACACTTTTGCGGTTGATATACGGGTTTAGTCGGCAACTTTACCACGCCTGCTCCCAGCTCCAGCGCGATCGCAAATACCAGGATGTTAAAGCAGTCGATCGAACAAACAAGTACAAACCCGACGGTGGACAAGCAAGGCGGAGAGAAAAAGACCGCAAATGTTGAGTCGTCCGATAGTCTTCTTATCAACAACAAAAGTGCTGTTGCTCTCGGCGGGAAGAAGAAGCTTCCCACCACCACGACCGGTAGAACTAGTACCATTTCCACGACACAGAACCTTGATCCAGCTCCGGATGTTGCAGCTGGAGAAACTATGTCGACGCTCAGGTGGATACGACACTTCTCGCCCTTGCAACAACCAGGACGAACTACACCCGGCGATGGTAAAAACAGCAGTACCACTGTGAATGTGGTCGGAGCTGCTGCCGCGGCAACGACGAGCAAACCAGGTGGTCAGCAGCACGGTGCGCCATCTTCTTCTTCCACGAAGAACGCTGCAGTGGCCAAAAATAGTACAGGTGGCGCCACTAGCAGTGGCGTCCAGGTGAACAAACAATCTCGCGAAACAAGACTCCGTGAAGCCATGAAGAAGTACCGCAATGCTTTGGAGAAGAAGAAATATCAAAATGCAAAACTCCCCCTGCTCCCCGTACTAAAACGGAGATTTTTATAGCATGATTTGTGAACACAAATCAGGTTGTCATGCCAGAAGACGAAAAATAAACGCGGACTGTAATTCTGGCTGGCGTTGGAATAAACCTTTGCATCTTCAGCATGGCAGAAGACAACTGAAAATTGGAAACCGCATGACAAATTTCCTGCTTTTCGGGCCGCAACTGCTTCTCTTGGCCCTCGAGCAATACAAGTCGATTTGTGAACGCAAATCCAGCATCACGAATGTCCTTTTCAGTATGGGGAGGGAGGACTTTTCCTCGCCATAACACCACGGAGCATGAAGATGATCGTGAAGGCCGCAAAGTAGAAGCACCCGCCCCTGCACAAGACGATGACGAAGCTAAGAACGCCGTAGCGCAGCAGGCGAAGATGAAGAACAAGGGCATGAAAAAAGCGCCGATGAAGAAAGCCACTGCAGCTGCTCCCGCGAAACCGAAGTACGACCCGGAGCTGCTGGAACTATTCGAGATACTAAAGTGCAACTATTTAATATTTGGGTCAGGAAGCGTGGAACGTGTCTTGCGTGGAGTGGATTCTTGTGAAATCTGTGTTGCATGGGTATGACCAACAAAAACGAGCGATCCTTTGTCAGGCAAAAATATGCAGCTTTTTATGCGCACTTGGCATGAGGCATCGCCTCCCAGCATTGCAAACTTCCCAGACCCAGACCTGTTTGCAATGCATACGAAGAGAATCAGGAGAATTCGATGACCAACGCGGACAAAGACGAACTACAGAACATTTTCAACCTGCTTATCCCACTGAAGAAAGCTAGCACATAATTGCATTTGAAGTGCGTAGAATGAACAATCCACAGAGAGGTCCTCCGTCGTGGTTTCTTGTGGGCTCGTCCGTGGCATGCTAGTCAAGATGTTAGTGCGTAATACGAATTTTTTTGTGTCGGTATTTTTGTCGCATGTTGATGCAGAGATGAGATTTAGTGTGCTAGGTTTTTCATCCTGGCGGATAGTGCTCAAAACTTACAGAACAATACTCGGTGATATGACGTCCTCAAACGTTACTACACTCTCAACTGTTACATGAATTTGTAATGCAAGAAGGGCCGCAAAAGAGAAAGAACTGGAAGAAGGAAGATTGCGCCTTTTATTGCATATGCACATTTTTGACGGATTCTAGTGCCATGTAGCCGCGTCGAGAAGTTGTCATGCGAAAAAGCCGCGGTCGTGTGCAGAGCCAGAGTACTAGTCTTTTTGCATGACAAGAAACCATGTAACAGTTGAAAACGTAAAGTTTGAGAGCTCCATAGAGGAGACGAAGAATGAGGATCTGCACCAGTGGAAAGACATGAAAGAATTTGAAGATGATTTTGCGTCGGAGGTAATATATGTTCTTGAAGCAGAGCAGATACAGTTGTGTGGTTTTACTTTGTTGTCACTTTGTCCTCAACCTACTTTACACAAAAGCTTTGTAGTTGTACCGAATGCAGAAAGATCCAGAAATGGATGACGATTTCACCCCCTTGCAAAAGAAAAATTCAAAACTCCACCAGGTCGAAAAGCTTAAGGAGCTGCTGGATAAGCAATACCCCACTGAGTTGAAGATAGTTTGTCGTACCTGCGATTGCGATTTTTGACAAAACAATTCATACGAAATTGTAACATCTGGCTGCTAGTGTGCAACATTGGCAAAAGAAGGTGAAAGAGGCAACTGTGTAAGGCCTTAACCCAGCAACGTTTGCATGGCAAAAGAATGGAATACCGAAACAACAATTTTTCCGCTTTGATTCAGATAGTGCAAAAATTGAGATCGCAGTTGAGACAACAAAAAGTTACGTTGCATAGCAGTAAGCTCCGCAAAATCACGAAGGCGTTCAATCAAGAGTTACCAAATGCAAGTATGTCTGGGTCTGAATCTCTCCTGCGCAAGATTCAGGTACAACAAGATCTGGCATGATGCATGAATACAAGTCACAAGCTTTTTTGTCTTGCTGGAAGCCGGGTTATCGGGCGGTAAATACGAATGAATGTGTAGCAATTATTTCGATTATCCTCGCGAAACTTATAATTCTCTCATGTCGTACACGAGGAGGCCGTCCTGCAATGCAGATACCAGCAACACAAATTCCGAGACCCAGACATATTCGTATATGCATAAACGTTCAAAGACTGCAGAAGCGCTCTAGCCGAGATGATAAAAATATCAAATACGAAACATGTAGTTGTTTGGGTGGGACTGGAAATAAAGTGAATAAGATTTATCATGCTCAGCGGGACTACCGGAATCAAATCTGTCATGCACGTTAGAGCAGCGTGTCAAGAAGTTCTTGAGACGTCAACTCGAGCGCCCTCCGGACTTTTCATCGCCAGCCAGCATTACAAATTTCCAGATGAACGCCCGAACACACATTTGGATTCAATAGATGATTCGCGACTATCTGATACGGACAGATGTCTGGAACGCGAAGCAAGCGGAACGCGCAGCAAGCGCGAGCGGTGAGAACGACGAAAACCGCAAAATAAGAAGTGAGGTATTGTTTACAATGTATAGTTAGAAGATTCATTGTGGTTTTTACGTACAACTACACCCACAGACGAAAGCAAATCATTCAGTCACACCGTGCATGACAAACTAGCTTTATCGTTGTACTTCTCGCCTTGATTTGTGCTTGAACGGAATTTCTTCTACTCTGCATGAGAAAAAGATAATACTCAAAAGAAAACAAAGCTATCAAAAACAAACCTTTGACATTCCAGGCCAACAGCCGAAAGCCTTCCTCGCCCGACGGTGTTGCCAAGAAAAATACCAAATCGGCTAAAAACTTGTCGAAGAGCGTCGCTCCGGCGGTGGTGCACAGGCGGAAAGATGACAAACTACCGGCGCAAGAGCCAGTAACATCTGCAGCCTCCTCTTTTTCGGGTTCTTCTCGCGTTGTAGTTGGCCCGGCTGTGAGTAGTCTGCTCCTCCCGGCTTCTTCTAGCGGGGCACCTTCAGCGTCCTCTCGGAAAGTGCCGGCTGCTGTTGTGGAAGAGCAAGAGAGCGAGGAAGATGATGACGTAGTGGGCGAGAAGATCATCGCAGGTGGAAACGAAAATCACAGAGAGGAAGCTCGTTCGCATAAGAATAGCTCCTGTGCTGACAACGGACAACATGCCAAAGAATTAATCGGCGAAGAAACGAGTAGCGGTAACGTAGAGCAGGACGAGAACGCAATCAGCACGGCACAGGAGGACCACGACGCCAGTAATCAACATCTGCCCGAAGGAGCAGGAGCACCCGCGCCGGAGGGACCGTCGCGACGACCAAATAAGGTGCCGCAAATATATGCGGTTCAGACGAGGGACGGAAGATTAGTCCCAACAGACGAAGAAAGCCACAGGATCGTATGCAGGGAAACAAATGTGTTCAAATCTAGTTCTAGAAGGAATTTGTGTTGTTGGTTTGCTTGCATTGCAGCATGAAAAAGCAATCAAAGATTGCATGACGAATTCCCATCTGCTCGACGCACGATGACAAAAACTCTGCACCAACGCGTAAGATCTGCAGCACAGATGTTCTTGCTGTCCCTCAGATCTACTCACACCACACAAAAAATCTGGATAGTTTTGAACGTTTTTGCCATCCATACCAGGCAGGAAAAATCGTAAGAAGTTGCAAGGGGTACACGGATCATATCATGTGCAAAAGTATCGTACTCGTACTAATCGCAGTCGTGCATGACAAAATGCTTTCCATACCTGAATCAGCATGACAGATTCCATTTTTCAGCCGGCTGCGGTCGTTTGATTTCTACCAGAAGTGCGAGGATACTCTTGCACTGCATAAAGTACGAGGGCGTCGACGAGGAAGGAGAGGGTCTCTTCGACGAGCCAGAGCAGAGTCATCAGCAAGACAAACAACTTCGCAGCACTAGCACCCCGATGAAGCGCAAGCACCTCGGGAACGATGAGCCTGAGCTCGACGATGAAAGCGACAAAGCTGCGAAGACTCCATATGTTGGCAATTGTGAAGCACGAGAACAACACCAGAGCCCGAAGGTTGATGGAGCAGCCGGATCTTCCACCAGTGTGGTTCCGCGCGAGGAGGAGCGGCTGCTGATGACCCCCAAGTCGGACAAGAAGAAGCGGAGGAGATCTCTGTTCGAGATTGCGGGTGACCGCCACCAACAAGAACAGCATCTGGATGATGAACTACCACATGGCGCCGACGTCGCTCACAGCAGTGCCAGCTCTTCCGAAGAGGACAGCGAGTTGCAAGAGGCACTACTGAACGACGCCCAGGAACAAGTAGACCGTCGTGGTGCATCAGCGATAGGAACTTTCTTGGACGAGGATGGAGGAATCGACGCTGAGAAAAATAACCAGGATGCTTCCTTTCTGGCCCAGTATGCATTGCGAAATCATGTGGATTTTCTCGTAGTCGTACTGGTTGCAAGGATGCAAGACCAATGATTTCTCCTTCCGTATTAAAACTCTAAAACTACCCCGTATTGTAGTTTGATAGCAATTTCTATGTACAACTGCGAAGATCATAACTATGCTTTTGCAATGCATACGCAGCATCAACTACAAGCGAGTGTGAATCAGGACGTCGAAATGGAGGACGTAGAAATGGAGGACGTGGAGGGCTTATGCAATGCAAAAGCATCGTACGAGTTGTATAATTTGCATTACAAATTCCCTAAGCATTAGAAATTGAATTTGTGATGCTGATTCACCTTGAGAAAGAGATTTGTAATGCCGAAATGCAATTACTACGAGTGCGATACTTTTGCACAGGATAAGGCTACGAGGATGAAAACGCTGACGAACAAAGAGACGCACACGACCCCGAGGGCGGAAGGTCCGTCGAACAAGAAGTGTCCTCCCGGGATGTTGCCGACGAGGAAGAGGCAGGGCAAGAAAATGAGGAAGAATTGTCCCGGCCCGGTGTCGAGGAGCAGGTGGCACAAGATGAAAACGAAGAGCACAGCGGCTTGGCTCCGGAGAATATCACACCCTTCGGTGGTCGAAGTCAACCCGTGCATCAAACTGGGAGCGATCGGGAACAAACGCCGGCAGGGCAGCAAACCGTGTCATTTGCAGATCCGAAATTCTTCCCCTCACCACAACCAGGACGTTTATGAACCGCAAATATGTCTGGCCCTGGAAGATTCTAAACTTGTGATGCTGTCTCTGAAATCAGAAGAAATTTGTATTGTGTGGCCAGCAATAGAACTCCAGTTTGCCTTTGCGCTACGCGGAGAGAGCATTTCTCATGCGAAATAGGCATTGGGAAGCCCTGCGAAAGTCTGTGATGCTAGTGCATGCATTACAGACCTCATGGGTCATCCAGAATATGCATGACAAATCTGGCAATCTTCCAGACCGAGATACTTTTGCAGTTCATAATGCTCGTTGCTAGCCGAAATCATGATCAGTCGCACCCCCGTATCCTTTGCAAAAGTATCGTGCTCGTACCAATTGCGTTTATGCATGACAAATCTTTTTGATTTCTGCATTACAGATTTGATTTGTAATGCTAAGGTAATTTGCAATGCAGTTTACACTAGTGCGATGCTTTTGCAGTTCATACCCCGCGTCACCGAAAAGACGACAGGAGGGAAGTTCCAGTGGGAGTAGCGAGGAGCAGGCGAAAAGGATGAGGAAGAACGGGGAAGGTGCCAGAAACTACACTTACACGGCCAGTGAGGTAAGGAACTTTCCTCCCAACTGGGCGTATCAAGTGCCACGATGTCTGGGTCTTGAAGAATAGATGTTTGTCATGCTTGTTTGGCATGACTGGTAAATCTGTCATGCACGTTATCCAAGAGCAGCCCCACTTATCTGTCATGCAGAAACGCAGTTTGTCATGCAGCAGAAGCAACGCCTAGAAGCTCGGAAACTTGTCATGCTGAGCCAGCACTTGCGGCCTCCTCATGACACGCCACTTAGCATCACAAGTTTCCAGAGCCAGACCCAGATGTATTTGCAGCGCATAGGGCGGTGCCAGTTGGGGCGGTGCCAGTTGAAGGAACAGTGAACACGCCAAACTTCGGGGGCGGTGCCAGTACTTCTTCTAGCAACAGCGGAAATTTCGCATTTGCCCCACAGCAAAACGAAGACAATGACAACGTTCGCGGTGGTGCCGGTGCTCCTTCTAGTAACAGCGGAAATCTCGCCCCGCAGCAGCAAATGCAAGACGAAGGCAATGAAGACAACTTTCGTGGCGGTGCAAATGCTTTCAGCAGCAGAGGAAATAATTTCGTGCCCGAGCGAGGCGAAGAGAATGAAGAGCAGCAAGCCCAGGATGAGCAACATTTGTCCACAGGTTCAGCGTCCTCCTCTCCAAGACAATACCAACCAGACGGTGATAAGACCGACGAATTGCCGAGGGTGAGCTGTACTACTCCCAAGCGCCGTAGTACATCCTCCCGCCCAAACTCGAAGCAGCGTGGAGTTTCCGGTACCTACGAAATGCAGGGACCGTCTCCGGCGGGAGAAGAGCGGACGGAGAGTATCGTAAGGAAAAATGATCCCCCCTCCCCGTATCAAAACGAAGTTTCTGATGCTGGATTTCCGTACACAAATCAGATTTGTCTTGCAGTACTAGGGGACTGCAGGCATATGCCAAGCCTGAGCCGAGAGGCTTTGCCGTAGGCGAGCAGCATGGCAACTGTCTATTGCTGCAAGCTCAACAGCATCTTCACAAACCGCCTGCATAATGCGGCGGAGTCTCTGGCTTTGCCTTCTTGCAAGACAGACAGGACTTGTGGCCCGCAAATCTGCATCGCAAATTTTCAAACCGATGCACTTTCCACATGGGGAGGGGGGATTTTCCCTTACGATAGAGAGATACCGGGAGAAAATGAGCTTGACTCATCGTAGTGAGCAGTCGAGAAAGCTCGAAAAGGAACGGCTACAATATAAACTGCTGAGGTGTTACAATCTCAAACGCCACAATAGAATGCGGAAATCTGTGATGCAAGAAGTGCATGATCTAACATACTCCCACAGGACTGCGCATGACAAGTTTCACAGCACCAAACCGCACTAGAATCTGGCGAAATTTGTATTGCAGAAAGTGGAATGCTGTCCGAGTCTGTCATGCTCGTCATGCAGTAAGTACATGTACAAAATCCAGACTCTATTGTAACGTTTCAGATTGTAACGCTTGAGCAGGTCATATAGAAAAGCAGAAGTTGCGGCGCGAACGGAAAGAAGCAAATTCATCCTCGTCGCGGGCGAGCTCGAACGACTCCAGTTTTGTTCAAGACGGGCGAGGACCGCCAGCACAGCATCTTGAACTACCTGGTCGCAGGAGTACCAGCGTCGCGGCGTCTTGTATGCACAATAAAAAGACCCAACATCTCTATCCATTTTATGCATGACAAACACAGGCCCTGACGCATGTTTTGCATGACAAAGTGGATGCTGGGTTTGGCCCTTTTTTTGTGGATAACTTCCTCCTCTCCGGAACAAGAACCGGGCCGTGCGTCCGATGCCGTCGTGCCAGAAACGCATATCAAATGCAAATATGTCTGGGTCCTCTGGGAGATAATTGCGAGATTTGTCATGCTAGTCTGGCATGTTGACTCTGAACTCTGCATTCCGTGGCCGCGAAGAGCAGCTCCTCTTGCCTGTCATGCAAAATCGCAGTTTCTCATGCGGAGTACGCAACTCAGAACCACGGCAAAACTTGTCATGCCGGGCAGCGTATAATTACAGGCTTTCCCTATTCCCTCTCTTGCGCCACAAGTTGCCAGACCCAGACATTTTTGCAGATGATAAGGCAGCAACCAGTGCAACAAACAGCAACCCTGGGAGTAGGAGCAACAAATGGCGCCTATGGCGCTCTCAGCTGTTGCATTCTCAACTGTTACATGAATTTGTGATGCAACAATGGCGAAAGCGACAGGGGGGAGCTTGCGTGTCGTGCATGACAGATTTGGTACAGATTTAGACGCTGTCTAGCAATTCGATAATTTGTCATGCAAAGCAGCTTGGTCGCCTGGTGGCTTATGGCCATTTTGCATGACAAATCATGTAACAGCTGAGAATGTAACGTTTGAGAACGCCATAGCGCCAGGTGGCTCCCCGGGTTCGAACTACCATGGGTCGTGCAACAATTACAAGGACTCGCGGCAGCGGCAGCGTCATCTTCTTCTTCTTCGCAGCAGCAGCACCAACCCGCTATCCTGTGCTGAAGTATCGTACTCGTATTGCAGTCATGCATTACAAATTTGCCTTCAAATAAGGTAAATCCGCATTACAACTTCTCTTTCTCATGCTGAGGAAATTTGTAATGCACTTATACGAGTACGATACTTTTGCAGTTCATACCCGTAGTAGTACAGCCCAATAATGCATCTTCTTCTACGACACCAGGACCAGGCGTCATCAGGAATAATACAACGCCTGTGGTGAAAAAAGAACCCCCAAAAGCTCCCCGCCCTAGCCTTCAACCGGTGTATGACTCTTGGCACAAGAACCACGAATGGCGTGAGAAAATATGCACTTGCGAAAGCATCGTAGTACCAGTAGTGGTGTACTATTTCATCACGTAGTTGTACATAAAATTTGCTCAGCATGACAAGTGGAACTTGTACTGTTGGTTGTAGCTTTGCCTTTGGAAAAAGACTTGTGTTTATGTTGCCTATTATCCTGAGTAAAAACGTACCCACACCAGAGTTGTCATGCAGATTTACCATGACAGGAACATTTGTGATGCGCAACCCCGTGACAGGCATTTTCAATCGTGTTTGGGAACTTAAATGCTGTAAAGAGGATCAGCAGATCGATTTGTGATGCGGCTTCCCTTGCTAACTTGCACTACCTTACGGACTGAAACTTGTCATGCGTGACTCCCAAAGCTCCTAGGTTTGTGTTGCAAAATTGTGTAAATGAAAACTGGTTTTAAACGCTGTTTCTCATAGATCAAAATAGAAAAAATGAAGAGGATGATAAGAAAAAGCCACGAAAGCGATCAAGCGAGAAAAAGGGCCACAATACAAGGAAAAGCAAGCAAATTCTTGCCACGATCGGAAGAAAAAGGAAAGGGAAAAGAGAAGAAGAGAAAAGCAAAGAAATTAGGTCTGATTCACGCTGAATCCGCATGAAAAACTGGCTTTCTTACTACTTTCAAGAAGCGGAGCCACGGCTACGAGCACGTTAGGAATACGGATTTAGCATAAGCAACTGGAAAAACTAGACTGGAGATGATGAATCTGTAATGCGTATTTGTGGAATTCGAAGTAGTCTTAGATGGTGTTCGAATTTGATTTCGGTATGCTTGCGTTTGAAAAATAACCTCTCCATTTCGAAACTAGATCCCACAATTGGTGGAGAGCCTGGGCATAGTTCGACTCAGATGCAGCGCATACCTTTACCGTTTTAGCTAGATACCCTACCCCTATGGCCTCGGAGAACCGAAAGAAGAAAGACGAATACGCGCAAGAAGGAGAAACAGCACCGCGGAAGGAAAAACGACTACGACATGGAGCGAGCTGCATGACAAGCAGTGAGTAAAAGCCTCAGCTTTTTTAGTAACAGCTACTGGAGACGAAGACCTGCTTGACTGGGTGTGAAGAACGCGCGCTAGATTGATAGGACGCAACAAACAATGTAGAGGACGGGACTAAGTACGACGCGAAGCTTTGGACGGAGTACAACCGCGCAAAGAATGTGGCTTGCGAGATGCTGAAAAAAGACACACTGGAAATCGACAAGACCAGTCCCAGAACCGGAAACCGCCTTCGTACGTTTTAGACCACGGGGAAGATTTGTTTTTAGACCGCTGGATATATTTGTTTAACGGGACCTCAGTCGCGCTATAAAGTTCGCGGGAACTAGTTCGGCAAAACGACGCGGCTGGGGTACGTTCCAAGATTTGTTTACGGATTCGGGTTTTATTTTGACAACGGGATACGATTTACGATTTTTATTTACGGATGCGGGTTTTACGGTTAAGCGATGGCAGTGATGATTTTCGATTTGTTAACGAGCAGCAGAACACGATCGAGATTTGAAGGCGCGGAAAATTCCGGCAACAGTAAAACAAGAACAACGGGGCACAGCTACAGAAGACGTCGAAGGGTTGCTTGCTACTTTGCTTAGCCCACTAACGAACCGGGAGCGACTCAACAAGACGGACCACTGTAGGCTGCCTACCAGTTCACAGATTTGTAAGCGATGAGAAGACTCGGCGTTGTGTTTTTGCAGGCGATCACGGGTGCGCTGGCAGCGTTTTCAATTTCGAACGCAATAGACAGAGGCGCTTGCGCGCAGTAGTAGTTTTCCAGGGTTTGTTTCGAACAGTGCGGACAGATGAAGCAAGACCTCCTCCTCTCGCGGCAGCATGAGGACCTGGCTGGGGAAACCACAGATAGCAGTAGACCGCGTCTCGATCGTTCTCTTGTTTCCGACGTGATAGGGGTTTGCTCCTGGCGCAGTAGTAATAGCGCAGCGACATTAGTGGCTGTCCAAGATTTGCTTTTCGCCACGCACAGCAAGCGAGACACGAAGTAGTGCGCACCAGTAAACTCCGTTCTATTTCCGGCCCAGTTTCAGAAGCAGTTCGTAGACCTCGGCAAAGCAGTCACGTCCAAGATTGCAGTTTTTCATCCTACAGAAACCGACGCACGCGGTACAGAACCGGCAGAGCAGCAATAGAAGCAGCAGTAGTAACTAAAAGAGGGAGACTTTTGTAGAGGCGAGGACACTGAATTGAAGAGAAGACTTTCTTTAGGCTTTCGCAGTTCAAGCCTGCGATAGAATGGCGCCCAGCAGGCACCAAGGTTGTACGATGAAGAACAAGGCACCAGACTCAAGACCCCGACCCTCCCTTATTTGTGTTCGCAGCACCGGTAGAAGACGATCAAGATTTTGTGTTCGAAGTTCACGATGAGAAGATGAAGAAGTTTCAGTCAGGGGGCGTGTAGTCGTGTAGCGACTTGGCTAGTGACTGCAACTTCTTCCGGATGGTGTTCTCGATGTGATTCAAGATTCCGATGCAGTACGGGCTCCGTTATCGACTTTCAGTAGCTAGCTGACCTACCGGGATTCAAGATTTTGATTTTGGGTTCGGGATCCTGACTTGTGTTCGCGGTTTCAAGCTTTAATGCTATCGGGCTCCAGGAATAACTAGCTACCGAGGACGGGCGTTTTCGATTTGTGTTCGGGATGAAGCAGGAACACTAGATGATGGTGGTGATGAAGATTTGATATCGGGCTTCGGGATTTTAGGCACTAGTAGATCTTGGTGAAAAGCAGGCAGGCTAGCGTAGAACACTCGGGCAGAGGTGCGAAAACACCGGGAGAACAACAAGAAGAAAACCCGGGACAGCACTAGAACACGGGCACAGACTACGAACGCAAAGCAGCAACAGAAAAGCAAGAGCAGAAACCAGGACGCAGCGAAGAGAATAGCAGGAAAGACCACCGACACGAACACGGAAGACCAGGAACAGGAACACGGACAAGCAGACAGACGGGGAACGGAGAAGACGCGAATGCAGAAAAGAGTACGGGGGCGAAGGACGACTTCGATTCTAGCGAGGTGTAGCAGACAGAGACGATTTCTAATTTTGACGCGGGACCAAAGAAGAACGTTTGGAACACAGGACCCGGAGTAGCAGTGCAGGTTTTAGGAGAAGTAGAGACGGAGACTAACTCTGAGGGCCAGCAGTAGTAATGACGAAGTGCGGAGCAATGGTTTTCGGAAAGTAGCAGCGTAGCAGTAACAGTTACGGCCTCAGGGTTTTTACATTTCACGGATGGGGGCGCATACAAGATTTTGGAGCACGGGAATGACGACAAGCCGAAGAACATGCGGAGTTTGCAGATACCGGCACAGCAGATCGTGGCTTCGGTCCAGCGCAGTGGCAGCGCGACGTTTTGGATGAAGACGACGACCTTCGTATGGCGTTAGGGGGCAGTGCCACCTGCCGATGCTGGGAAGATTTGTTTTCAACCGACGGCAGTTTCAATTTCGTCTATGATCCGACGCGCCGAAGCAGATGTTCCCGACGACCAGCAGATAGGTTTCTGCACGACTTTGCCACTTCCCCGATGAAAAAATTGCTTCTGTACCGCGACCGCCTTGGAAGTGTTGGCGAAGACTCCGCACGATTTCAATTCTAAGCCCACCTGACGACCACGGGCGACGACTGCATCCTTCGCAACGACTTTTTTGTGCACACCGACCGACATAAGCTTGTTTTCCAGATTTGAAGATGAACTTGCAGAACGAACGGGATTCCGGTTTGGAAATTTGTCATGCAGTTTACGCTGGGGGCGCCGAAGATTTGTTTCTGTTCACGACAAAAGATCACGACTCGACGAACCACTTTGGAATAGCAGAGCGCCCGACGCTGATACGATGCGGAAGAAGCGTTTGATTTTACCACGGACCTGGAATTTGTGATGCAGATTTTCTGTGCAAGAATTCGCTTCCGGACTACACGACACGGAGTTGCTTCTGGACACTCAAGAACCGACGGAAGTGCGAATTTGTCATGCTGGACATCGAGAAACTTGGGACTACTTGACGGAGACCTTTTGCTTGTGCGACTACGACGATGTGGATTTGTATTGCTGATTTCGGACGACATGCTTTTGGTTGCGACGAGATTCTGCGGTCCGAGATTGAGACACCGCTGCAGATTTGAGTATGGGATTCTTCAATTGGTGCTTGCATTACGACACTGGACTTGCCGACGACATTACGATGCTGACTTTGGATTTACGATGAGAAGAGCACGATGCTGGGATGGGATAAGAGGACGCGGCGATGAGGACTGGAAGATGAAGCGACTGTGGAAAATTGTTTATGGATTTATGCTATACAGATTTGGGCTTACGACTTAGAACTTCTTGTAGGATTTCGACCATCAGTTTCTGTTTCGAGCCTTTGTAAGATTTGCGTTTTAGATTTTGATTATGAGAAAAAGCGTTGGGGGCGGTTTGTGTAAATGAAAACTGGTTTTAAACGCTGTTTCTCATAGATCAAAATAGAAAAAATGAAGAGGATGATAAGAAAAAGCCACGAAAGCGATCAAGCGAGAAAAAGGGCCACAATACAAGGAAAAGCAAGCAAATTCTTGCCACGATCGGAAGAAAAAGGAAAGGGAAAAGAGAAGAAGAGAAAAGCAAAGAAATTAGGTCTGATTCACGCTGAATCCGCATGAAAAACTGGCTTTCTTACTACTTTCAAGAAGCGGAGCCACGGCTACGAGCACGTTAGGAATACGGATTTAGCATAAGCAACTGGAAAAACTAGACTGGAGATGATGAATCTGTAATGCGTATTTGTGGAATTCGAAGTAGTCTTAGATGGTGTTCGAATTTGATTTCGGTATGCTTGCGTTTGAAAAATAACCTCTCCATTTCGAAACTAGATCCCACAAAATCCCCATCTTGACTCTGGTGTGGGTACGTTTTTACTCAGGATACCTATAACAACTACTACAACTAGTTTTTTTCTGCCGCGTGCAATGCTTTTCCAGTGCATAGAAACGCCTGCGGGAATTAAAAGCGAAAAAGCAGAAACATCAGAAGATGCGGGATACTGCAGACGCACTAGCCTGGAAACCCGAGAAGGTAAGAATTGCGGAGTATCAAATGCAAATATGTCTGGGTATGGAAGATTCCGAGATTTGTGATGCAGTTTATCCAAGCTCAACCCAGTCTGGAATGCAGGGTCTAGCGTCACAAGATCTACTGCAGCCCCTTGAGCTTGATGATGCCTGTTCTGCATCACAAATGCCCTCTCAGCATGGCCAGAAATGGGCACCTTTTGCAAGTCACGCAACGGCACAGATTTTTGTACGATCCGCAACATGCATCACAAGTTCACATCCTTCCAGACCCAAACATATTTGCAATGCATACGGAGCACGCGGAAGCAACCCAGCGAGGGAAGTCCGATAAAGAAACTTACGGCGGCGAAGGGGTATCGCAAGAAAAAACTGCTACTTCATTGTGAGCTTGCAATGCGGATTTTGTATCGCAATTGTTTCTGGCAAAAACTTCAGGAGTGTTTGTCTTTCTAAATATGCATAGAAAATGCATTTTTAGTTGTGTTTTCCCCTAGAGGAAATGCTCGCATGGCACACTTTCTATTGTGATGTAGAGCTGCGCGCTTGTGATGCAATAAAACTTGCGAAATCAATAAACAAAATCATCACAGTGACACAGTTTTTTCGCCGGATAATGGGGTTTGCGCGATGAATTCCCCACCACGGCTATCCTGAGTAAAAACGTACCCACACCAGAGTTGTAATGCAGATTTGCAAAGACAGGAAGACTCGCAATGCGCATCCCTTTGAGAGCCATTTCCAATCGTGTTTTGGAATTTGTGATGCTGTGAACAGGATGAGCAGCTGGATTTGTGACGCGGCTGCACTTGCTAACCTGCACTACACTGCAAAGCTCAACTTGTCATGCGTGACTCACAAAACTCCTAGGTTTGTGTTGCAAAATCCTCATCCTAACTCTGGTGTGGGTACGTTTTTACTCAGGATAACGGCAGGAACCCGCGTTGTTCCAACAGAGAACAACACGGAAGCACCGGAACAACAGAACGTACCCGCGCAAAACGACTCGTGGAAAGAAACGTGCACGAGAATCGAAAAGGAACTTCTCCAGGAGCTGGGCGTACACCACGGGAAGCGACAGCTAGTAGACGTATCAAGATTCATATCGCAAGAAAAAAGTGTTAGAGTTACACACTGTGTTGCAGGCCAAGCAAGACAGACAAGCTCTGTCATGCCGGATATGCGTAGGAGCCTCGTCTTATAGCCTTTTCCCGTAGGATTTCTGCATCACAAGTTTTCTCTCTCATGCTGAGAAATTTGTGTTGCTAAATTCGCTACAAATGTGTAACTGTAAGAAAACTTTTTTCGTGGGATAATGCATGATAAAAGCCGCGGTAGAAAGACTGATCAAGCTATCCTGAGAAGCAAAAACGTCTCCAAGCCATAGTCAAGATGGGAAATAACGTGCTAGACAAATCAACAAGCTTTGGTACTTGTTGCGCATGACAGGTTTGCCCTTTTAGTATGATCGATGTGTTTCGTTCGTCTAGTAGCATTACAGGTCTAGCGTATTGTGCTGATTAGAGCATTGCAAATTTTTCCAGAACACAGCTATGAAATGCTTCTCATAGGGTTCCGCATGACAAACGTTTTGAGCATGCAGATTGCTATTGGGTGAGGACGTGGCTTTTACACAGGATACAAGCGACACGAGAAAGAAGGAAACGCCGACCGCGCAGAAGAGGTCCGGCTATGGAAAATCAAATGGGAAACGACAGGTGGAGATAAGTTTTATCCTGTGCAAAAGTATCGTGGTCTAATATTAACAATAATGCATGATGACTCTGTTTTCTTGACAAGCCTGAATCTCGTGCATCCGCATGGTAGTACATACGAAAGAACTTCATTTTCCGCTTTGGTGGAGAATGAATTTGTCATGCAATTTGTACAACTAGTCTGAAGATGCTTTTGCAATGCATAAGCAAGCCGGAGATGCTCCTTCGCGCTAGCCGGGATTTCGGACTAGATGCTAATGCGGTGAGAAGTGACTCGAAAGTTTCCATATTGGTTTTCTGAAAGTTTTAGAACTAGGATCGGGGTCGTCTTCATAGCATACACAGAACAATCGTAAATTGTACAAAAATAGCGGATAATTTATAGAAGAAGTGTTACTAGAATCAGATTCAGAGAAAATATTTCAACTCGAAGATAAAAAAGTACTACAGTACAGCTACACGGTAAATTCATTCACATCTACTTGAAAAATTTCGAATTGATGTTGTATCTAAAAGGCCGTCGTGCACAGAAACAGTGGACAGTACAGATTTGGATAGAAATGAAGAGTTTCAAGCTACCGATGAGCATCGCTCACGCAATAGAAAAATGCACTGAATAAATTTGAATCGACTCAAAAAATATGTATTCTAAAGGAGCCATCTCGTACGCCAACAGTAACAGAGTGCATAGTTGTACATAGAAGTAAAAAATGCAGAAAATGTACAAAGAAAACCGAAATAGGAAAGAATGACACCAAAGACAAAATTACCGTATTACAATGGATGTAGATGCAAAACGAAAAACTAAAGCGAAACAATAGTGTCTCATAGATAAACACCGAGTGCTAGGTGAAAATATCACGGAGTAGAGGACATTCTTGCAAAATTGAAGTAATTGTAACTGGAAACTGCTCTGGAGTAAATGTAACTGTAGAAGCGTTGTAATAGCAGACCACACTACGACTTGGAAAAGGGAATGCAAAAATCATGGGCATGAAGCTCCACGTAGGAAAACTGTCACGGTCGGCTCGACTGTAAAGCGGCCGTGGTCAACTACTTACCTTGTGCTAGCAAAATGGAAAAATCCCTTTGGCCACAGAAGTACGAAAACTCGGTTTTTTTTTGTGAGGGCCAAGACGAGGCACACTACACTTTTCCACGTTCTGTCACCCATTTTTCGGTATCAGTACCTTTTTGTGTTGCGTTCAAATAACTTGTCGTCTTATGGTTGTGTAGTTGTGTCTGTATGGGGAAAGTGCAGAAGGTCGGTATTTTTTTTGTGAAGACCAAGAGTAAGTAGAGTACAGCCTGCGCCCCGTCACAAATTCGGTCTTTTTTTTTTGTGCTGCGTGGGAGAGAGTTGTAGTTTGTGTGTCATCGTGTTTTTTTTGCAGCGAGTCGATCGAGTTGGAAAGAGGTAGTTTTTTTTTGTTGATTTACTTCGAATTCCCACACATGTACAAACGGGTCCCCGGGTGCAGGACGTAGATAAATGCAAATTCACCTTTTTCCCTAGACCAGGACGAGGGACCGTGTGATGATCTACCAATACGTTGCAAAAGTAAGTTTCTTTGGAAGTAGTTGATGTACAAAGGTAGCCGCAGGCCTATACACCAAGAGTACTCTCAATTGATTTTCTCCTTGTTTTTTTTTGAAACAGAAAGACCGCAGCGAAGGGAGAGGTAGAGGACTGCAAAACGATGCGTTGAAAAACTCCTCTCTTCGTTTTCAAGTTCCTGCAAGAACCGCTAAAGAAAGCCGCTTTTTTTCGTCGAGGTCCAAAAGTAAAAAGGAAGAAACAAGCCGCAATTTTGCCCAGTGGAAAGGTGAAGTGCAACCGATAGTTGTGATGGCCGCACAAAAGGACAAAGGTAATAAAACGCCGCAGGGCGGCGGCGACCTCGAAGAATCCTTCTTTACCGAGGACGAAGATTCATATGGGAGGAAAAAAAGTTCTAGGATCTTTCGAGGAGGATTATTTTGCGTTAAATGCAATAGACTACGCAGAAGTCGCAGACGCAGCAGAATTGGCAAACGCAAATTGGTCATGCTGCATTTTTGAACTGATGTTTTTGTCAAAATTTTGACTCATCAGCAAAATTTCCCCTATATTTCGTCCTGTAAACTTTTTTTTCTCGTCCACAACCCTGTCCATATCGACCTCACTGACTTGAACAGCACCGCCTACAACAAGGTCGTGAGCAAGATCCAAGACCAGTACGAAATCGTGAAGGTACAAGTTGTTTAAAAATGCCTGTCTTTCTACACACGCATGAAGCTCATGTCAAACCTAAACAAGCATGACAAATTTACAAATTCTTCACCAGGCAAATAATCATAAACAGGACGGCAACGCGTCTGCGGGGTCGAGTACGAGACCGCCGGCACCGGTAAAGAGAATTACGGTCAGTGCAAGGATTACAGTTCAGGTCCGTGAAAAGCCTGGCGGCACGGTGAAGAAGAACAATTTATTGTCAAAGAACAAACCGGCACTACCCGTGACCAAGGGTAACGACAAGAATAAGAAGAACGCAGCTGCCGGTGGTGACAAGGAGAAGCAGAAAGGCAAGTCGAAAAACCTGCGCACGACGTCTTCCAGAAAACGGATTAAGGTAGGCAAAAGCAACCAGATGAAACTCGATAAGAAGGCCGCAGCGAAGAAGGAACAGGAGCTGCAAAAACGACAGGTGGATGCGGTGTTAGGCCAGCTTAAGCACTTCACTGTATCCTGTGCAAAAGTATCGTACTCGTACTGCAATCATGCATTACAAACCTCTTTGTTGACGTTAAGTCAAATCCGTATTACAAATTTTATTTCTCTTGCTGAGGAAATTTGTAATGCAATTATACAAGTATCGGATAGGATTAGGAATAGGATACTTTTGCAGTGCATACACTGAGCAGAACGGCAAGAACACGGAGATAACCGACGAGATGGAGGAAGAGTTCAGAGGCGCTTTGGGGATATCAAATGTAAAAATGTCTGGGTCTCCTGGAAGATTACCAGGTTTGTCATGCATATTTTGAATGACCCATGATGTCTGTGATGCATGCCCTAGCATCACAGACTATTAAAGGACTTTGCGACGCCTCTACCGCTTGAGAAATGCCCTCTCCGCGTAGCACAGACCGGAGTTCTCTTCCTTGTCATGCAATACAAATTTTGTCAGAATCCAGAGGCAGCATTACAAGTTTAGAACCTCGTTCCAGACCCAGACATTTTTACATTTGATTGGGGATGATGCTGTGCTACATGGACGCCATCGTCACCGGAAACGGCTATGGAATTCCCAAATCGGTTACCTTCTCAACCGTTACAATGAACTTGTCATGCAAAACTACCTTGAGCCGACAGACGTTGAAGCTACTTCGCATGACAGATCTCCGAAGGGTGCTAAACACCGTTTAGATCTTTTCCAAAAGATGCGAGATTACCCCTTTCCCTGCCGCGGCTTTTGCATCACTGATTTATGATGTACTACGGTTGAAAATGTATCGACGCTTGAGAACTCCATACAAACAATGCAAAAGATCTGGCTGACGTGAGAAACGAGCTGCGCGACGAGACGATGAAATTTCACAACTTGCTGAAAGCAGTGGGGTATCAAATGTAAAAATGTCTGGGTCTGGAAATTTCAATTTGTGATGCTGAAATGTGCATAACAAAAACGCTCCCTCATGCAGCAGGAGAGCATAAAGTTTGCAGAACGTTTCCTCATACGCATTCCGCATGAGAAAGAGAAACTGCGTTTTTGTATGACAAGGGAGGCTGCGACTTTTGTGGGTCATGCAATACAGATCTCACAGGGATGCAAGACCAGCATTACAAGTTCCAACTTTATTCCAGACCCAGACATTTTTGCACTAGATATGGGGCCCCGAAACAGTGTCGACCGGAGGAAATGGGCTTGTCATTCCCTATGGCTTGCAAAAATGTCTGGGTCGGGAAGATTCTAAACTTGTGATGCTGTCGCTGGATTCTAAAAAAATTTGTATTGCATGACCAGCAAGAAGACTCCAGTTCGTGCTACCCGGAGAGGGCGTTTCTCATGCGGTGGATGCATCACAAAGTCCTCTAAAAATATGTGATGCTAGGGCAGGCATCACAGACATCATGGGTCATTCAAATTGTGCATGAGTGATAAAGCTGGCAATCTTCCCGACCTAGATATTTTTGCAGTTGATATTCCCTCGATGCCCTCGAAGCAGCGAGCGACGTGCTTCAGGGGTGGAAGAGGACCTGCTTCAACCCTCTCAAGGAGACACTGGATGATCCAGTCGTGCAGTCCGTTTTCGTACCAAGTGCAAAAATGTCTGGGTCTGGAAGAATGCAAATTCTGATGCTGCATTTGGACTCCAAGAAAATCTGTATTGCATGAGTACTAGCGAAGGGAAAGCAATTTTTGCGACGCTCTTGAGGAGGCATTTTTCATGCGGAATAGGCATCAAGAAGCGGTCAAAAAATCTGTGTTGCTAAGGTATGCATCACAGACATGATCATGGCTCATGCTAAACGTGCATTTGACAAGTGTAAGAATCTACTTCCTGACCCAGACATTTTTACATTTGATATTTCGACGCTTATGAAAAGAGGAAGACCTCCTCGTCTATGAAGATGACGGAGGCGATATCACAAAGAAAAATCCCCCCTCCCCATACCAAAACGGAGATTTGTGGAGCATGATTTGCTACCACAAATCATGTTGTCATGCTAGAAGGCAAAAGATGCGGACTGTAGTGCTGGCTGGCGTGGGAAAACCTTGCATGTTCAGCATCACAGGAGGCCACTTTAAGTGGGAAACGGCATGACAAATCGCCTACAATTTTGGCCGCAACTGCGTCTGTTGGCCTTCTAGCATTACGAGTCGATTTGTGTACGCAAATCCAGCATCACAAATGTCCTTTTCAATATGGGGAGGGGGGATTTTTCCTCACAATAGGCGATGAAAGAAGATTTAACGCAAGCTGTGCGAAGGATGAGGAAGTATTTTCTCGACGCCGTGGAAAACTGGACGGACGAACACGAAACTTCCATTACCGAAACCCAGAATAAGCTAAAAAAGGCGTTACGCGATTTTCGCGACGTGTGCCGCGCAATCAAGATTTCCGAGCGCGAGGTGCCTCCGCTGTGCGAGTCTGTTACCAAAGCGTGCACGCATTATCCTGTGCAAAAGTATCTGATACTCGTATTGCAATCATGCATTACAAATCTTCTGCTAAAGGTAAATCCCCATCACAAATTCCATTTTTCATGCTGAGGAAATTTGTAATGCATTTATACGACTACGATACTTATGCAATGCATACGCCTGTGGTGATAGGGATATTCCGAACCCAGATCGACTGGAATATGGAGTATGGAGTTCTCAACCGTTACATTCTCAACTGCATTACATGAATTTGTCATGCGAAACTAGTACCATCATCATCCACAAGATCAAGCTGCTTCGCATGACAAATTTGCGAAGGCGGGCTAAACAGCACCTAAAGCTGCGCGAGATTTTTAATGCAATTTTTGCACCCTGTCTTCCCCCTTTCGCTTTTATTGCCATTCTTGCATTACAGATTCATGTAACAGTTTTGAGAATGTAACGTTTGAGAACACCATAGGGAGAGCGCAGAATTTCGAGAGGAAGTGACACGGAAATATGAGGAGTTCCGCCAGGAGGCGGGATTGTCGGAGGAAAGTCGTTATAAACTGCAAAAGTATCCGATACTTGTGTAAATGCATTACAAATTTTCTTGGCATGAGAAATAAAATTTGTAATGCGGATTTAGCTTCAGAAAATGATTTGTAATGCATGATTGCAATACGAGTATCAGATACTTTTGCACAGGAGCGTCGTGCGAAAACCCCCGTGAACAACGAGCCGCAAGAAGCTGGTACTGCGGCGACCGTGAGCAACAAGAAAAAAGAACTCCACCCGGTCGTGCAGAGCGTGTTTGAAGCGAACAATGAGGATGGCAAAATGGAAATAACGCCGAAGAAGCAGGTAGAATTCGTGGAAGCTTTCGACCGGATTATATGCAAGAAGAAAACTGTGGAAGTGTAAATTTGTGTTGCAGAAGAGGATGCAAGACACCAACACTTGTCATGCTGGACATGCATCAGAGGTTCTTCTCGTAAAGTGTTTGCACCGATACCAGCAATACACATGAGAGGTTTATTTCTCTGTCATGCAGGGCCGAGCAAATTTGTGATGCTGTTCCTCGAAGAAAGTTACACTTTTACATATTTTTTTTCCTGGATAGATCAACCGATACTTTCACAAAATCGTAGAAGGGAGCCCGGAAGATACAGATCTCGATCGAAACAAGGACTTGTTGCGGGAAGCGAAAATCGACTTTGACGCCCTGTTGGAGGAGCATATCAAATGCAAAAATGTCTGGGTCTGGAAGGATGTAACTTGTGATCATGCTATCTCTGGATTCTAAAAAAATCTGTATTGCATGACCAGCAAGAGGGGTCGGGTTTGTCCTACGTGGAGAGGGCATTTCTCATGCGGTAGAGGTATCGCAAAGCCCTCCAAAAATCAGTGATGCTACGGCATGCATCACAGACATCATGGCTCATGCAACATATGCATGACAGATCTAGAAATCTTCCAGACCCAGACACTTTTGCATTTGATAACGCACGATATCGAGCAACCGTCCGAAAAGTGGCTAAAAGCTGAAAGAGCGTGTGATGATGTGCTGAAGGGGGAAAAGAGGACCTGCTTTGACTCGGAAGCCGAGCCGGACTCTGACGTCTCACAGGAAGGGCGCGCGGTGGAGAACGAAACGAACTTGCAGAATACGGTATGAACGACGTAGAATTATTGTTCCTTCCGGTATCATATTGGTCGAAAAAACGGTATTTTTGTGTTCTACAAACCATGATCCGTGAAAAATCTACATCTCCATTTACGACGCAGCTGTCGTTGCATTTAGATGAACCGAAAACGAGAAATCATAATCAAAGTCCATACCAAAATCGTTTCCCTCAGGTCCAGGTGCGTGCGGAGTCCCCCGTGGTCGCCCCCCGCTCGGCTGCGCAATTACTCCTTGCCCCTGCTGGCAGTTCCAGGTCACCGTGTGCGGATTCGTTCGAGGCCTTGAGACAGCAGGACCAGGAAGATAGTAACGGCGAAGAAAGAAGTGGCGCCCAGGACGGGGAAGTACAAGGGCAACGTTTTGAAGAAGGTCGTGCTCCCGCGCAGAACGACGAGTTGGAGATGAACGAAGGACAAGACCACGGTGACGCCGCACAAGGAAAAAAGGCAACCAAGATGAAGAAGGCAAAAAAGATGAAAAAGGCGAAGGAAAATAACGAGAACAACACACCCGCCGCTCTGCTACAGGGCAACGCAACGTCCTCTAGCACGATGGCCGGTCAGGGTGCGGTGGCGGCGCGCGGAAAGTCATCGTCATCGTCCATTTTTAGTGCGGTACTGAATTCTGGTTCCATGTTGAAGGATTTCAAAAATGATCTCGTTCTCAACATTTTTGCAGTACTTACAGTCTGCAATTCATCACGGTAATTACTTCGATGTTTAGAAATGTCACAGAAACAGAACAGAACTCTTATTTTCTGGACCGGAATTCAATCCAATTCGTATAATTACACCAATATCAGGTATCGCACGGCAAGAATCTCATGGCGACCGTCCCTTCGAGCAGCAGTGTCGAACAGAAAATATGAGAATGCACAATCCCCCACGTCGTCCCCCGGATCTGTAATGCATAAACAGAAATATTAGGAGCATCGGCAACAGAAAGAGTACAGTATGCGCATTACAGATTCACACAGGAGTATAGTGCTGGTTGAGCTCCCGAGCGACCCCTGTCATGCAACACTCACAACAAAAAAACGGTAAATCTGCCTGTTGTCATTGACAAACGAGGAAGCGGGGGGGCGGAGGTTTGTACACTCTCATAGAGGAAAAACAACATCGTGAACACCACCTTCAGTGCCGCGAATACTACCACGCCGCACTCGACCGATGCCACCATGACCACTGCTCTGTACGGCGGTGGACAACTACAAGGAACTACGAAACAAAAGAGGTCCCAGATGAAGAAGCTTACCGCCCCTTGTACCGCAAAGGCTCCGTCGAAAAAGATGAACCCGTCCACCTCTGTCACCAACGGATCAACTACGAAGTTGTCTGCAGCATCTTCTACCAACAGCGGTACTACAAAGGGCAAAACGCCTGTGCGGAAATCTGGTGGGAAGCAGCCGGCTGCTGCTAGCTTCTTAGTCGCACCAGCACCGACGAAAAGCTACGGATCATCTTCCTGGGACACGCCGAAAGTGATATGAGAGTGTACAACTCCCCCTTCCCCTCATTTGTCATGCAAAACCCCAAATGCAAATCCAAAACCAAATGCTCCACTGTGGCACTGTTTGCACCACAGATTCCTGTCGTGACACTGTTTGCATCACAGATTCCGGATGAATGATCCCAAACAGTACTACAGTAGGCGCATGAGTTTGTCATGCACAGGCTTGACATGTGGTGCTGTTTGTATTGCTGTTCATGCAATACAAATGAGGGGGAGGGGGGGTTGTGCACTCTCATAAAGGGTTCAGCCAATATACAAACCACCGAGAAGAACTGGCGGTAGCAGCGGTGCATCGGAGGACCTGCCGGTGGTATAGTAAACCAATTTTTGTCAATCATGTATGCACAGAGCGTATAGATGATGAAATTGAGATCTTCGTCATTTATTTCCCATGAGCAGACGGTGTGTCCTCTGTAGGAACAGTGGCTGAATATGAATATGAAATTTATTCTTTCAAGAAATAAAATCGAATCAGCATTCCTATCCGTCGCACACCTCCGGTAGCCTCGTCGAGGGTGAGCGGTCGCGAATATCAAACGCAAAAGTGTTTCAGTCCTCTGGAAAGCCGGGGCTTGTAATGCTGGTCGCACATTTCGCACATTCCCGTGAAAAAAAAATCCACAGTTCAGCATCACAACTTTGCGTTTCCAGAGGACCCAAACACATTTGCAATGCATAGCGGAAGATCCGGTACCAGGATAAGAGTCCGCATATGAACTGCAAAAGTATCGTACTCGAATAAATGCATTACAAATTTTCTCAGCATGAGAAAAAAAATTTGTATTATGCTGATTTGCCTTGACAAAGAAATTTGTAATGCAAGACCAGCATTTATACGAGTGCGATACTTTTGCACGGGATACCGCAGTTGTCCTTTGGTACGAACACCAAACACGGTATCCTGTGCAAAAACGTCCCCACACCAGAGTCAAGCTGGGAAATCTGCTAGACAAATCTGTCAGCTTTTGCTGCTGCGCATGACAAGTTTGGCCTCGCAGTGTAATCCTGTTTAGCTTGTTCAGCAGCATCACAGATGTAGCATATCATGCTGATTCTAGCATCACAAATCCCACAACACGACTAGAGACTGCTTCTCATGGGTCTCCGCATGAGAAGCATTTTCAGCATGCAGATTTGCATTACAACTCTGGTGTGGGGACGTTGTTACAACTGATACAGGGAGCGACCTCCTCGTCTAGCCGCGCGCCGTGGTCGTAAAGAAGACCGCAGAACAAGAACACGATGGAGGTTTTCAGGCAGGGTCTGATACTGTTGATGGGTCGTGGAAAGGCGACATAAGTAAAATTTTGCAAGATTTTATAGAAACAATCGATTAGGTCTTTTAATACATGTTTCGTTGTTAGAAGTTATTGTAGCACACCACTGTAAAAGTCCTACTTTAAAGTTTTAAACCATGTACATTCTGATTGATGAGAGAGTACTTGTTATTGGCACGGTAGTTGTTCACGAAAAATTGTACAAAAGTTTTATATTTGGACGACAATTTTAGCCTGTTTATTTACAACCTTGAGCAAGAACACTAAAATCATCACGTTTCGCTTGATATCGTTCACTTCAAGTAAAATTCTACGACTATAGTTTAACCGACGATTTACATTGTTGATATGACAAAAACAGGAAAAATCAAAGTGCATCACTACTACGACCCGTAAAACTTTCCGGCATGGTTATATACTACAGCCAGCGGCGAAATTTTATCAAATTCGAACCAGAAACCTTCGTTCTGTAAAGAGCCCGACATGTAGTTGTCAAGGGTTCCCTTTGCACAGAAGATTGATGAATAGGACAAGAAAAAAAGGAATTGCATAGAAACTACACAAGTTACTACACATAGCATAGAAGAATAGTTGCAGTCGAAGCCACATGAAAATTAGCGTAAAATCGGAATGGTAGCGAGAAGAGGGTGATAAAGTTAGACCACCAGAGCAGTATGGATTTCCAACGCAGCATCTGACTCGAACTCGACGGAACAAGTCGAAGTCCTAATCCCCGAAAGACACACTAAAATAAACAACACGACAAATTTATTTGTATTTCCGGATGGGTATCTTGATGCTGAGTATGCCAGATAACGAACGAAGATATTTCTACACCTTTTCTCACACTCAGTTTTCATTTTCCCCATTACCACCTCTCATGTATCTATTCTCGCCTGGCGTCAGTACTTCGAACATAGATTGAAAAACCGAAAAGAATGAAGATCTTGGATCTCCTCCTCGTGGTTTTTATTTACCACTGCTGCTTTTTTACCCTGTGGCTGCCTTGTTCGGACAGTGAAATGTTGCATCAGGAGCTTTCGTTTTTGTACGCAAGACGAAAGAGACGGAAAAACCAGATTTGTAATGCGGAACGCCAAAAGTTGACAAACAGAGATTATTTTTCCACATGAACATAAAAAAGAGCTTGACTTTTGTGCCCGTTTAGTCGTGTTTCACCAATCTGTCATGGTAAATAAAAGGCGAAATAGAGTGTGGCTTGATGCTGTGGCGCGTGTGGGCAGCAATGCAGATTAAAAATCTGTGATGCTGAAAGAGGAAAAGTTTGTTCTTTTTCCGAGGCCTGATTAAAAACGCCATAAATAAGATTCCTTGCTCTTCGAAAAGTAAAACGACAACCATAAAAGACTTACTATACCACTATTGCCTTGCGTTAACTAAATATCCTGATGGGTATGCCAGATAAAGACTATCCAACCACTTTGATGGAAACAAGCAGACAGAATTGAGCAAAACGTCTGACTCTGAACTAAAACTCCACTACATCCGCTGTGATGATAAGAAGAATGAGTTTATTTCCGATGGACAAACGCTTGTAGCTGTACATCGAGATTGAATTTCAATTTGGGATCATAAAAGCAACACATGGAGACAACAATACAACGACGTTCGAGTGCACGTTGTGCACCGCAGCTGCCGTACAAACGCAGCCATGAGGAGGCGCAGAAGTTGCGTCTCTTCATACCACGTCGTGCGCCGAGTTCGCAAGTGTGTTCCACCATGATAAATTATTTTGCGGCGAGCGTTGTGGTTGTCCTTTCTCATCATGGACGTATTTTTTCCCAGCAGGCGGTAGACGAAGACGCGCGCGGCGGGTCGCTGTGCATCTCCTGCGCGAGCAGCGGGCAACTGCCTGCGGTGAGGCCATTCCTGACGGGTTTGGCCCGGTTGCGACTCCTCCCAGCCTCAGTAGCGTGGTTGGTCGCGTTCTGCAGGTTGGGCCTGATGGTTTTGTCATTGAGTCCGCCACCAGGAGAGCAGACGGCGGAATTACGGCGAAAGGCGCCGAGGCGCCTCACCGGCCTCCCCGTTCGAGGTTTACAAGTTAGGGCGCGGCAGCCTGTGGTGAGGCCATCCCTGGCGGGTTTGCCTGCGCCTGTCCTCGGCAAGTTGCGGCGCGGGCAGAGTTGTGCCCGGCCGGACCAACGGCCGCGCGCGCCGAAGTGCGCGACGCGAGCCCGAGCAGCAACGCGCCCCGCCCCACAGTGGCGGCCCTAAAGGAGTCAGCGCTGCAGAGGGGGCCACCTTCAGGGGATGGCCTTCCCTTCGTCTTGGCAGGCAGACACGAGACGCCGGCCCTTCTGGGTATCGTGCCCGGCGGCCGAATTTCTGGGGCATGGGGGCGGCCGAATTTCTGGGGGGTGGAGGCGAGCGAATTTCTGGGGCATGGATGGGGGAGCCGATATTGATCGCCCAGCAGGTGCGGCGCAAGTCCGCGGCCGCTGCCCTCGGCAGCCTGGCGGATGCCGCCGCCGCCGGCTAAGTACCGCGCCGGCTACTTGGCCGGCCGAGCCTCTTCCCTGCCGGCCCGCCCCCCCGGGGGCCCTGGCCGTACACGCCCGCGCGCCCGCGGCGCCGTTTGCCCCGGTGGGGCAGGGTAGCAAGCCCCGCGCGCGCCCCGGCCTCAGCTGCCGGCGCGGGCCGGGGAGGGTGCGGGCAAGCCATCCGCAGTGCAATCGATTACACGATGGCGCCAAAGAAAGTCGCGACGAAGGAGATCGGCACGTGACCGGGGAGCGCGCGAACAAAGCCCGCGAAAGCGGTCAAGGGCGCCGCTCGAGATGTTTGAGGACGCTGCGAAGCCGGCCTTTCTCCGATCAGTTCTTTCAGCAGGGCGCCAGGCGGTGCCTGCCTGGGGCCAGTCGGCCCCTTTGTACCCGGGCGCCGCGCCGGAGTTGTGCGTGCGAGCCCGGGGCCCGTTTCCTTTCCACGGGCCGGCGCCCCTGCTGCCCCAAGCGGCCAGGCGCGGCGCCGCCCTTCGCCGCCGATGGTGTTGCCCCCCGCCCGGGGCGCCCCTTTCGCGGGCGGAGCTTGATTGGGGGGCCCAGGCTTTGTTGCCTTCCCGCCCTTGCTTGGTTGCCGCTGGGCCGCTGAGGTCGCGGGCCTGCGCCGGTGGCTGTGGGTTGCCGTTGCGCGGAGATGAAGCGGCGCGCCTCCCGCACTTGGCTGCGTGGCCGGTGCCCGTGGATAGTCTTGGGCGCCGCGGTGCGGTGCGTAGCGCATTCGCGACTCGCAATGCGGAGCTCTCTGCTGAGTAAGAAAGTGCCTCACCGAGGTACAGCGCTTCAATCGCCGGCTGCGGCCGCGGAATGAAAAACTCTCGCGCGCCCCATGATAATTGGGGCCCCATGACAACGATGCTCGTTGCCTGTCCTTCTGTGTTCGAGTTCGCACCGGCAGAGCCGTCTGATGATCAGGCCGGTGGCCATTCAATACGACGAAAGCCTCATATTTTGCTTTCTTTCAACGTGTCGCTTCTGGCTGTCGAACTTGAATTGTGTTATGCGGCTAGCGCATTTTTGTTAGGCGGTATTTTGCGGTTACTTATAGAAATAACACGCCACGATTTTTTACGCCAACTGAAGAACCTGGACGAAGGCATAAGATTCCCGTATGACGAGGAGTACTTAAAGCTTTCACATCAAACTCGATCATCATGGCAACATCCGGCTCATCTGCGCAAAGAACAACGGGAGTGAGCGACCAGCTTCCCTTCACTCACCCGGACAGCAGTGAGGGCCACGCGACAAACACCAACGCTGCGGACGAGCCGTCCGTTGTTCCGCCGGAAGTAGGAGTCGACAGCGACCTGGAACAAGCAGAACAACGGGAGCTCGATCCTGCCGTATTTTCTAGCCGAAGCGCTGCTGCATTTCTCCCGACCCTGTTGCAGCACGACCAACCGGAAGGAAAATTAGAGGGTGTACCACGAGAGAAAGAATCCTCCAAGCTCGTCCAAGCGTCGTCCGCGATGGGCCGTAGGCTGTTGGAGCAGGACGAGAATCCGGCAAGAAGCAGTCCCTTCGCTTATTTTCCCACCAGTAGTGCTACTTCTACGTCTACCCAAGTACAACAACACCACTCCCGTGCTGTCACCAGCCTGCAGCAAAGCGGTGGGGATCAGGAGGATGAGATATCAGTACCCCGCCTAGAAGTCGGTGAACAACAGGACAACTCTGGTGCTCCGTTGGTGCAGCTATGCATTGCAAAAGTAACGTACTAGTAGTAATTGCATTTATGCATTACAAATCTCTTTCTCAAGGTAAAACAGCATTACGAATTTGATTTGTAATGCTGGACTAATTTGTGATGCAATTTATACGTAGTACGATGCTTTTGCGTTGCATAGCAGCAGGACCCTGACGGTAGTTACAGCTCACCGGCGCCGAAAGACGGGCGGAAAGACGGTGAAGAGTCGTCTTCTTCTCACGACCAGTCAATGCCCTGGTCGGCGTTTGTCGGGTCGGACGGCAAGCCTCTGTTTGGTCGTGATACGGCCGGTGACGAAGACCACGCTGCTGGACGAACTAGCTCTTCGTCGCCGATCGGAAACTACGACCAGTACGTTCACACGCAGAAGCGGTACAACAATCATTTTTGCGGTGGGAGCGGGGAGCGGGTGGAACCGCGATCTGGATCACAGTCGCCGTCGCAGTACACGTTATCAAATGCAAATATGTCACCTGGGTCTGGAAATATTGTGATGCTGTTTTTGCACGACACGAGAAGTTTGCGATGGACGCTTTACTAGCATCACAAGTTTAGTAGAGAAGAGTCCCAATGCCTAATCCGCATTACAAATTCCCGTTCTCGGAGACAGAAAATGAGGCAGCTTTTGCTGCCTATGCATGAGAGATTTGTGTGTGTTGTGAAATGCGCATGATCGATCACAAGTTTGCAATCTTCAAGAGGGTCGTCCAGGAGACATATTTGCAATGCATATCCGTACTACTCCGGTGATTCCCAACTTGCACCACGACAGGCAGCAGCAACTGCGGGAGCGGAAGATGCGGGGCAGTCCGTGGCCTTCGAAAATTACGATGTAGGACATGATATCAAATGCAAAAATGTCTGGGTCTGGAAGATTCCAAGAAACCTGTAATGCTGTTTCTGGATTCTGAAAAAATTCGTGTTGCATGACCAGCAAGAGGACTCCAGTTTGTGCTACGCGGCGAGGGCATTTCTCATGCGGCAGAGGCATCACAAAGCGCTCTAAAGATCCGTGATGCTACGGCATGCATCACAGACATCATCGGTCATGGAAAATATGCATGACAAGTCTAGAAACCTCCCAGACCCAAACATTTTTGCATTTGATACATGACGCCGGGGACGACGACAACACCCCCAGCAGCACCTGCACAGCGCTCCACCTCCCGGACTACTGGACCTCGACTTACACCTATCAAATGCAAAAGTGTCTGGGTCTGGAAGAGTGCAGGAGTTTGTCATGCAAATTTTGCATGACCCATGAGGTCTGTCGTGATGCATGCTGTAGCATGAGAGATTCAGCGAGGGCTTTCTGATGCTCATACCGCATGAGAAAAGCCCTCTCCGCGTAGCAAAAATTGCACCTCTGTTGCTGTTCATGCAATACAAATCTTTCATAGAATCCACAAGTGGCAACCTTCCAGACCCAGACATTTTTGCAATCCAGAACACCATCGACACGACAAAATTCGAACACGTCCGCTGGGAGATCTTCGCCGCGTTTGAATATGCTCTGCAAAAGTATCGCACTCATACTAATTGCGTTTCTGCATTACAAATCTTTTTATTAAGGGAAATCCGCATGACAAATTCCATTTCTCATGCTAAGGAAACTTGTATTGCAAGTTGTACTAGCTCTAGCACGATGCTTTTGCATTGCATATTGAAAAGCACATGCTGAAATTCTGGTTTCTCATGCTGAAGCCGGACGTGAGGAACGCGAAAAAGTGGTCGGACCGGTACATCCCGACATCGGACATGATCACGCAAATCGTCAAGCACCACGTGGTATGAACTGCAAAAGTATCGTACTCGTAGTAATTGCACTCATGCAAGACAAATTTCATTTTTGAGCTAAATCAGCATGACAAGTTCCGTTTGTCATGCTGAGGAAATTTGTGATGCGTTTATACGAGTACGGTACTTTTGCAATTCATAAGTCGAAGAATTTTTCGCCCCGACCGCGGAATTCGGTATCATGTTGCAGGAACAGACCTTGGCGTTTTTGCAAGAGGGTAAGGAGGAGCTGTTTCGCCAAGAGCCGATGGGAAAGTCGATTTTTCCGAAATCAATCATCGGCAAACTGCTGCGAGTCCAGTTGGAACGGGTTTGGAAGGACAAGAACTACGATTTTTTCGCGCAGAAGCTGTTCAACAATGTGAATCTTTTTTGCGACAGCGAATTCGACTTCGAGGGCAACTTCTTCGGGGACGGTTTGTCAGGCGGAGTAGAGGACCGGAAAAACAGCACGACCACGACCTCTCTGACTTATGGAGTGCAAAAGTATCGTACTCGTATAAATGCATGACAAGTTTCCTCAGCATGACAAATAAAATTTGTAATGTGGAGTTACCTTGAGAACAGAATTTGTAATGCATGACTGCGATTAGTGCGAGTACGATACTTTTGCAATGCATATGACCTCCGTCCCTGCGACGTTTCAGGAGGAGTGCGTCGGCCACACCTTCCGGAGCTCGTGTCTGCATATCGTGGCGAAAATTTTTTTGCAGCAGGCAACACCGTCAATTTGTCATGGTCTTCTTCATGCTTGGAATGCATAAGCTTTGAACTACTGTGTCTATTGGTATTGTATCTGATTTTGCATGACAAACTGACAGTGATGCCGGTTCTTTCCTGGTCGATACTGCTGTGGCTGAAACGAGAGGCGTGGCGGGTCGTGAAACAGCAGCATTTATCAATCGCAAAAGTACAACTACCGCTTGTAGTTCCGATAAATTTTCAATTGCAGTACTTTTGCATGACAGACTTCTTCTCTATACCAAAATCTGCATGACAAATAGTCTATTCTGACTTTCGAAAAACTTTCTGATGCAAACGATGATACTTAGCATCCGATAGTTGTACTTGTGCAATGCATAGCGAAGGCTGCGATACGGAGTTACCGAGAAGAAATTCTACCGTAATGACAGCTGCGGGTCAACTGGAGGGGTGAAGAAAAGGAGGGTGGGGTGGTGAACCACCGCCGAAATCGAGATGACCTTTTACGGCAAAATGAACAGAAAACATCGCACAAGAAAAACTTCCATCAACAGCGAAGACATTTTTTTCCACCGCGCCGGGGAGCAGAACAAAGCTTCTGTACTTCCGTCTCATCGTCAACCCACTACATCAGCAGCAGTGCATCGGGAAGAGAAACAAAGAGTCACCACATCAACAGCTGAAGCGAAAAAAACGACAAAATTATTCCCGTATCAGACTTTTTCTCCCTTGTTCAACATTATGCAAGACGGGGGAGGACCACAAAACCAGAACTACGAAAGTTGAAAAGTAAATGAATAGCGTTAGCGATCGACCACCACTAGAATTTGCTCAGTTGACAGAAGTAGTCGTAGTGCAAGTAGCTTTATACTACATCTAAAAATGAAACTGTAAATGCAAGAACCGGTTTTCAAATCAAACGACACATTTTCTTTGATCCGATAATTCGTGCGGTTTCATGAATGGACACATATTCATCGTCACCCCATCACAGTTAAACTGCAAAACGTACGTAAAATTGTCATGCGCATTTCAATTTGTCCTCACAAACGCAAGGCTTCTCACCTTGGAACACAAAAAGTTACCCTGGTATTTACAACTTAGCACCAGCTGCAAAGGCAGCCATAGAAGGTCGACGACTGCTTTACTGATACTTTTGTACACAGTATCCAAAATGGCTTTTGCTGCGACGTAGAAGAACTACATTCACAGCGGCGAAATTGTCATGCGGTTTCGAAACAGAAACGGTGCCACAAATAAATATGAAGATGACCCTGTACATTATAGATTGTAACGTTTGAAAGAATTCGCGAAAAAACAAATCCAATGAACCAGGGAGTAAAAGAAGGCAAAGCTGTGCCGTTGTGGTGGAATGTGACTGTCGGGTTTCGAAGGTGCGAGCGTTGTTCTGTACTTAGCTGTTGGGAACTTACGAAAGTAGTAATAGACACAGAGCTGTGCTCAAAGTACGAATTTCGAGAGAATCACGCAGACCTACTGGCCTCCTGCATGTGAAGAGGAGAGCGCAAGAACTCATTCAAGAGTACCGCAAGAGAGAGAAGGCGAGGTGGCAGGATGAGGCGTCGAGAGCTTCTGCTTAGAAGTAGAAGTTGTACTTTGTGGATTTATTAGTCTGTTACTTTCTAGCATGCCGCTGGCGGCAATCGCAAAACCTTTCTGCGGACGTCTTTCGTGACGAAGCCCTGGCTTCGATATGCCAATCGCACGCACAAACGGCTTTGCTAGGGCGTTTTCCCAAGCTAACCGGCCCTACCTCGGCGACCGCGCCACTCAATAGTCGGATGCAGAACCCCCCGGCGTTCACTTTCGGTATACTAAAGCTAGCTCCTGATGACGGTGTTGATTGGATTGTGTCGACTAATTGATGACGATTGATTTTCGCGACCCTCTCCGCGACATTTTCACACGATAAACGACTTTTGCGCCACAAAATCAAAATCTCTATACAGGTGTTTTAAAGACCAAGCCGAGTTGTTTACGGTGACCGCGGAGTCTTGCGGCAGTCCATTGAACGGGGGCGCGGAGTGGTCTGCAAGCGGCCAGCGCGGCAGTCTGCTAGCAGGCGGGCGTGCGTGCGCTCTCCTGCCACCAACAGCAGCCGCGGGCGGCAGGTGCCGGCATTGCTCTGCGCCCGCGGATCGTGAGGCCGCGAGGCCTAGCACCCAGGACGAGTCGGACGAAGGCGGCGCGCCTTCTGGCGCCTGCATGCTCCTGGCGGCTGCCCTCTTGCTTAGAGCATGGATTTCCCCGCCGGGTCGGTCGTGGCGCCGCCCGCGCAAGCGGCTGGCGCGGCGATGCCAGTTGTTGCAAATTGTTCGCGCGCTTTCGGTTGTGCACCAGTACCAGCAGCGCAGCGAGCAGGAGTAAAACCTTTTCTGCGCGCGCTGCGCCCAAGCCGCCGCCGCCGCGGCACTGCATACCGCCTCTCCGGATACACGGACCTGTGGCAGTTGAGACGTGCGCCTACTAAACTACATGTCCGATGATTTGTTCTGTCAGACGTCTTACTACGAAAGGCAGCGGCTTTCCTGCGCGCCGCAGCTTTCGGAAGCTCTGGCGCAGTTACAGTTTCTCGTACCAAGTAAGAGATAATTACTTTTTGAGAGAACAATCCTGCCTATGGAGAGGAGCTTCCTTTGACCATGCGAGCGCAGGTCCAGTGCAGCACGGGGCATGGAAAATGAAAGAGCGTTCGAGCGGATGAGCGCGCGACCCTTATTTATTAGGACGTAAGCACGCGCATTTGGAATGATTTCCGACGTTTTTCTTCTTGCCATTGCAGCTCGTTGTAGAATTCAAAAATCATGGACCGACTTCGTACCTGGTCTCCGCGAAGCACGGTCGCGCAACTTGGGAGAGGTTGAGGACGATCTCCTGTGGCTCGAGTCGCCGTCCCCTTCCAAGAACACGCCGGGCTCGAGAGAACACGCTTCTTGCAAGCTCGCCGTCCCCTTTCAAGAACACGCTTCTCGCAAAAAGTGCGGCGACCACCTCTGTAATTTTGGGGCAAACCTCCGCGGCGCAACGCCTCAGCTTACTGATCGATGATAGATTTTTCCGTTGTGGCCGCTGAGCTGGTGCGTTCCGGCAGTCTTGCGGCAGTACTAGTCAACGCAGTTTCGCGCACTGCGGCACGCCGTTTCGCGCCTTTGTGAGCGCGATTCCTGTCGTGAAGGACGCCAACGGACGGGCTGCGTGCGGCCCCGCCGCAGAAAATCCCGCCGTTTGGAGGAAATGCGCTGGACGCCGAGCAAGACGCTGTGAATGAGCCGCGCAAACAGCTCCACGAACGGCACGCGGCCGGGTCTCTGCCTGAAGCTCGCACGCACGTCGGCGCCCCGGCCGGCGCGCGAAGTGCCTCCCGTGCAGTCGCACACACTGCGGCCGCGCCAATTCGTTGGGGGCCGGCCCCCGTGCGATAGGCCCCAGAAAGTGTCGCGCGACGGCCAGCCTCCTGGTGGGTGACGTGCGCTCCGCCGCATCGCCGGCAGCGCGCCGCCTGCCCTATGCCGGCGCGGTTCGTCATGCGCCTCGTTGGTCCGCCATGGTTGGCCTGCCGCGCAATAATGTACGCTGCTGCGCAGGCGCCAAAACCGCGGCGCGTTACATCGGCGCTCCGTGCCTGCAGGCGCCATGGCTGGCTGCCGCCCCCGAAAGCCTTTACCACGTGCCGCACCCTTCTATCATTCGCAATGCCCGCTCGCGCGGGGCGCGTAAGTACCATGAGCAAGCGCGCATGTGGTCGCGGGCTTCAGAGCTCAATGTTAGAAGAGCCGGGTAGTCGTGTCAGGACTGATCTTTGCCTGCTTAGCACCTACACCGAGGTTTGACCGCGCGAGCCTCTGTTCGACCGCGCCTACTGTTCGACCGCACGAGCCTCTTGCCAGAGCCCCACAACAATTCCAAACAACCGTAAATTATTTATCACACCGTCGAGAGAAGTACAAGGAGTGAGCGATAATCTAGTTTACGCTTTTAGCGGCCAGGAGTTTTGGTTGGTGCAGCTGCAGGTAAATTAAGCACGCCTCCTGGGCCTTATTCTTGGTCCGGCCGCGTTTGGCGACGAACAATTGTCCGTTTTTCTATCAACAGTTTTTGTTGTCGCTGCGTGTCGTCTTCTTGTTCTTCCGACGTGTCCTGTTTCTCTGCGTCCTTCGTATCAGTAGAAAATCCGTTTTGGTTTTGAGGTTCCACCGCGTTCTGGAACTGAGATCACAAGTACTTTCATGGTTTGTTGTTCCCGTTCTGTACTCAGCAAGCTGTTTGTACCCCCCTCCGGGTACTAGACGGACCTTTGGCAGTTGCTGCCGCGGAAGATGAGACTGGACGTGAAGGCAACTGCGTCATTTTGACGTTGAGGTAGTATTTTGCACGACTTGACGGCGGCCTTTCTTTGTGCGCATGAGGTGATTTAATTACACATTACGAACACTAGTAGACGGCGAAGAGGACGAAGAGCGTGTTATTACCGTAGACGGTTGCAACGACTTGTACAGCAGGTGCGAATAGAAACAAAAAAGCAGAATGAGTCAACCCCCTTCTAATCCGGGCCTCCCGAGAGGTACCGGCTCGACGCCAGCTTCTGCACCGTATCTATACTGAAAGCAATCCCCGCATCAAAATGCATGACCGCGTATGCCACAGCATGGGAACGAAAGGGATTGCATATGAGTTGGGTGACCGACAGCTGTTTTTGCATTGAAACGAAACTGGGATTGATTTCCTATTGATACCTTGCAGACTCCACCTGCACCCGCACCTGCGGATCCTAACGCGCCGAAGTACGTGGTACACAGAATCAACGATACGCCCCCCCTATCATGCAAAAAACTGCTTCCAAGTTCACTCCATGTCTTTCATGGGATGGGTGAAGATGTAATGTTTTCATCTGCAACAGCGCAAGGTCTGATGTGCAGGGCAAACTCGTTTCTCTCTCACATCGACGTGACTACCCAAAGACGCACCTCAAAAACCAAGACGCACTTTGTTCTAGAACTTGGTCTACTTGCTCTTGCGACACCAGACAATAGGGAAAGATCAAAAAGCTTCCCTCCTCCAGAGAGGAAAGTCGGAATTTGGAAGCACTTTTTCGCACGATATTTGAACTACAACATGAGAAAACCTGGTATCGAACGGAGTAACTGTCTCAACCTACCATACCCGCACGACACTTTGCGTCCCAGCGCTTGCAACGCAGAGAGAGAAACTATTTGCAGAAAAAATAAGTCTTTCTACCATTTTCGGACGAGGTCGCGTACTCTACTGTACGTGCCTTATAGGCTAATGCGAACACGACTGAGAAAAACTGTCACGCTTGAGCTGAAAGCCTCGGAACTGATGGTGGAAGAAACCACGACATCCTTCTGCATTTCAGTTTCTCTTCGCGCGTCGGTAAGAAGAGGCCCTTTGTTTCTGAGGATGTCCTTATCTATCCAGTTGCATATCGAAGGAGGCTCCTTGCTGTCAGAGGAAAAGCTAAGATGGTAAACAAGATACGGATGATGATTATGAAGGAGCCGCGACAACATGATCCCTTTTTCGGTCTCACTACTGGTGTGCATGGATCAGAATATTAGCTTGCTTTTCCTCTGGGTTCGGAACAAACCCTTTGTTCAGCTCGATAACGGCACCACGCGGGGGCGGTAAGACCTTCGTGCAGGTCGTGAACCAATCGAGTATGCAGTCAGCCACGAGTGATATTATACGGAAAAGCACACCCATACGACGTGGCAAACCTATTTTTGTTGCACATAAAACATTATTTTTTTTTGGCATCAGTGAACGCATTGCTCTGCATGACAAAGTTTTCGATTCTAGTGTCGTGCATTACAAACTGCTGCTTCTACTTTTTATGGACCAAAAAGCATTTGCGCCGTAGCGCTAGAATTTATATGTACAGAATTTTTCTTTTCCTGGGTGTATGGATTTGATTTTGCTTTTCTCTTTCATACCGACAATGAACAATCCAACCTCTGCAATGACGTCACAACAGCCAGCTGCTGCGTCGAGCGGCGGAGCGGGAGGTAGTATTTTGGGTAGTTCCAACGATGTTTTTTCGAATCAATGTCAATGTTGCGTAAGATGCATTTTTTGCATAAATATTTTGGCTGCAATTTAGAAAATCACGTGAAAACGAATGGACCACTCTCGTGATCTTTTTTGGCGATGGTCATCTTTCTCGAACTCTACACACAGGTATGTCCGCGAATACCACCACGTTCGGGCTCGGTTTCCCAGGTTTCTACTGTGGTTATCTGTTGGTGTTTTAGGACCATTGTGAGAAATGCCGCATGAATAGAAGTACCGCTTTGAAGATGGATTGTGTATGATTATGTGACGTCTCCATTTTCTTGTACTAAATCTATTTCAATACGTCAAAGGTATTGGGATAAAACCCGCTCCCGGGTTTGGGAATTTTAGAAGCCCTGTGAGTGCCCAGTTATCAGATGAACTAGTAATGATGTAGTGCTAATTTTGTCATGCTCGCCCAAGAGGGAGGCATATGCTCGACCAGTCTCTCTGCGGCGTCGGAGACAGGTTCATTCTTGGGACAGCTGCATTGGTCAGATTGGAAGTCGTCATGAAGTGAATTTGAAGCACTGCATTTGCAGCTTTGAGCACCATACCTCCAGAACCGGTTCTCCGCGTCCTCGGCGAGCGCGCGGTCTTCTGCTCAAGGAGGAGCCTCGATTCGAACTGGTGCCGGGAGTGCTGCGGGTAGTTATTCTAGTTGCTTTTACTTTGTGTGAAGTAGAAGCGCAGCTTGATCATGAAAATTGCAAATTGTTTTTTGCCTGGACAGCGGCACGAGGACAGCGCTATGCTGTAGTGAGGCAAGATCAAGTAGGAATAAAAGGGCATGCGTTTGAAATTATGACAAACAATTTTCAGGTAAACCGCCTGCGTCAGCTCCTTCCAACGCGGCCACCGGTACGAACGTGCCAAGACTCCAGCTGCAGTTCGCCGGAAAATCTACGCCCGCTGTACCAAGTGAAAACGTGTGCCACGTCTGTGCAATGTCGTTTCAGTTTGTGCTTATTCATAGTGTTGATCATGACCACGGAATTGCAGCACTAGCTTCGACAACACCTCCTCGCGCATGCCTTACTCCAGCCTGCTGGATCAGATTCAACATCGAACCAAGATAGACTGCAATTATTTCGGGTAGAACGGATAGGCATGCTCCGACACCGACACACCTTTCCATTCGACTCAGAACGCAGCTCTCCACCAACGTGTCCTCCACCGCGAACACGTCTCTGTTTATTGCCTGAAATTCAGTCTTTGTGTGGAAACGATTTTGCAGAGGATATTGTGCACCGTAGTGACGTTGTATTGCAACAGTTTTGTATCTTTACGAGCAGGAGCATAACGATATTCATTTTTGTACATATCATCGCGTCGCACCAGCAGGTGCTTGCCATCTCGAAGTCAACATTTGGCGTACACAACTTCGGCGTCATGTCTTGCTTTCGGTTTCCACCACACGCAGCATATTTTTTTGCATAGGTGCTAACTTATGGTGATGAAAAAAGATTTCACGATATACAGGAATAAAAACGCTTCGTTCGAGTTTTTATTTCGAGGCGTGAAGCTTTTTCTTCTCCATTCGCCACGGCGGTTGTCGGCAGCAGCACGTTACGAAAATGAACAATATCACTGAACAGCCTGTGGTCACAAAAGCAAATCGCTCTTGTCCTCGCCGCTTTTGGCATGCGATGAAGGTGTCTTGATGAAGAAACTAAATTAGCATAATAGCAGAAGCAATGTGATGAAGATTGATAGAAGCATAACGGCGGCAGTCCCTGTTTGTGGCTTGTACTAGCAGCTGGAGTATTTTTCACAGTCACATACAGGAGCGACGAGCAACACTCCGAGTCTACCACTGCCGTCGTCATCGCTCTTTGGCGGTAGCAACAACCGCTATTTCCAGGTATAATCGGACGACACTGTGCTACTTTTTTAAAAAATAACTGCGACCAGTCCGCAACGTTGTGTTCTGCTGTGTGGACACTTGAAAGTGACGGCTAACATCTTGCAGCTTTGCCCGAGCCGGAGTATTTAGCAGCCCTATTCTGGCTACCCGCGTTTTCCTTTGCGTTCTACTTTATCTTAGAGCCTTCTCCCGTTCTGCTCTGGGGGGGGTAGGGGGGGGCAAAAACAATGTGACACAGATCGACGGCGATCTGGGCTTTCGATCTGGGCTTTCGATCTGGGCTTTCGATCTGGGCT